TTCTCTAATGAGGTCACGGATCGACCCGTCCACTTTGCTGGCGTGAATGTGGGCTAACATGCACAGGGCCGCATGTTCTCCTTTACGGCTAAGAGCGTYGGCAGCTTGGTTGGACTTTCCTGCCTTGTGTTCAAACTTAAAATCAAACTCGGCTAACAATTYCTRCCACCTGRCCTGTTTGGATRTTAGCTTAGGYTGATTGAAGAAGTGGCAAATTGCACTRTTGTCCGTCTTTACCACAAAATATGAGCCCAACAAGTACTGCCTCCAAGACCTGAGGCAGTGAACGACTGCTAGCATTTCTTTCTCTGATACGGTATAACGTCGTTCCGCATTATTCAGCTTGCGACTTTCGTAAGCGATCGGGTGACCGTCTTGGAGAAGGACACCACCTAAAGCGTAGTCTGAAGCATCCGTTTCTACTTCAAACGGCTTCGTCACGTCGGCTAGCCCAAGTACTGGGCCTTTCATCATGGCCGCCTTTAGATCTTCGAAGGCGTCCTGACTTTCCTTCGACCACGTCCAGGTCATTCCTTTCTTCAGTAACTCTGTCATTAGGGTGGCTCTCCTTGAGAATCCTTCGATAAATCGTCGGTAGTAGTTGGCCAACCCTAAAAAGGAGCGCAACTCGGTCACAAAGGTAGGGACTCCATTCTTGGATCGCCTTTACCTTATCTGTGTCCATACTGATTTGCCCTTGTTCGATCACGTGGCCAAGGAACGTGGTCCGCTTTTGTGCGAACACACACTTTTCCTTCTTTACGTATAGCTGATTCTGCCTTAGTTTGTCGAAGACCAACCTGAGGTGGATCTGGTGTTCTTTCAGCGTCGGACTGTATACCACTATATCGTCTAGATAGACTACCACAAACTAATCGAGATATTCGTGAAAGACCTGATTCATCATAGTACAGAACGTGGCAGGGGCATTCGTTAATCCAAAAGGCATCACGAGGAATTCAAAAGCCCCATACCTCGTCACACAAGTAGTTTTAGGCTCGTCACCTTCTGCAATACGCACTTGGTAGTAG